CCATCTTTGTCCTGTTGGGAAAGGGGTGGGGGATGGAGGGAACGCTGTTGGCCTCTTGGAAAGTAACAGCCTGGCTGCTCAGTGGTTGAAATCCATTCTCCACAAAGGGTGAGACTTGGGCCTGCTCACTAGGATTGCTAAGGGAGTGTTGAGGAAGAGCAGACAACCAGCCCTTGCCCTGCTGTCAGGTCCTCAGTAGTATGTGTCCTCCCCAGATTAAAGTTGCTCAATAGCAGCATTTCACCCTGACAGCCAAAAGGCAGGAGTGAAATAACATATTTCCAACTGTGGAACACAGCCATGAAGGAATGAAGCGTTGGCAGGTGCTGCAGTGCTGGTGGATCTTGAAAGACTGGTTCTCCTGAGACTGCTGTCAACAGTATGATTGGGGATGAGGGCGATGGAATGGTTGCTTAAAGGTTCTGGAGTTGGGGTAGAGATATGCTTAATACATGAAGTGGAGTGCATGCCAGCACACACGAGGCCTTGAATTCCCCGGAACCACAGGTATTCAAAGTCATCTTTACATCCATAGTGAATTCAGCCTGGACTACCTGAGACCCTGTATGAAAAAAGAGCTATAGGGTGAACTGGATGGAAGGCAGGTTGGCGGGACCTGGATGACTGACAACTGTAACTCTAGTTCCAGAGAGTCCAATGCCCTTTTCTGGCCTCGGCTCCTGCAAGAACTGGTACACACAAACACATCAACAAAACAATTTAAAAACCTAAAAAGGACTGGGTGTGGTTGTACTCAGGAGGCAGAGGCCTGCAACCTGGTCTGCAAGTGAGCTAGCTCCAGGCCAGCTAGAGCTACATAGTGAGATTCTGTCTAAAATTCCAAAATAGATGATAGGTAGGTAGGTAGGTAGATGATAGATAGGTGATAGACAGAGTGATTGATGGGCTGATTGATAGACAGTGCAATACTGGGTGGACTGGAACCTTTGACGTGAACTCTACATTCCACAATCCAGAAATTCCAATCCATCCTGTCCTTTTTAGGCTTGGAACACTAGCCTTGCTGGGGCCTCTGCTCCACCCACAGCCAACCCTTCCTGACTTCCTGGTTTCTGATGTGTAGGTCTTGCTGGCTCCAGACTAGCATAAAGCCTTGTGTTGATCTTCAACCTACCCTCTGTGTGGGCCAAAGCAAGCCTGTGTTCTGGGGTCCATAGAGATCCAGGCCTGGTGTCACCAGCCTTGAAATGTGTATTTGTAAGCTGACAGGAGCCGGCCACATCAAGGCATTTTTTATTTCACTTAGTTTCATTTTACAGGAGCCATCTACTAGCTTTAGAGGAGGTGGTCACGTGCTTTTTAAAGGGGCCCAGACGGGATAGGGTGTCTCTGACTTCTAACCTTTAACCATTGTCAATACATCTTGTGCGCTCTTTTTAACAGGGTTTCTCTGTGTAGTCCTAAGTGTCCTGGAACTAGCCATGTAGACCAGTTGGCCTAAAACTCAGAGATCTGCCTGCCTCTGCCTCCTGTGTACTGGGATTAAAGGCGTGTGCCTCCACTGCCCGGCAACAATAAATATTTTTTAAAGTAATAAAGAAGTTCTAACTGTGCATCAATGAGAGTGTGGGTCACTTATGATGTAGCACAGCAAAGTCTCCTGCTTGGTACGTAAGTGTAGCCTGTGCCAATGGCAGCCCCAGGGGTTGGGTAGTACCCCGCTTCCCAGGTGACTGAAACCCTAGCCCGTTCCCCTACAGAGACCTCCTACCAAGATTAGCCAACCCTCCTCCTCTTTCAGCTGTGTACAATAAGCTTGCCTCCCGGATTCAGCTGTGTAAAATAAACCCATCGACTTTCCAGGCTACAGCTGGGTGTTTCTCCGCCAGAATGCACGGTCCACCTGATCCCATCACCCCAGTCTGGTTAACCCTGAAGCCATGCAGGTCTGGGCACACCAGCTGGGTAGCTGGCATCCTGCATAGCCAGAACATTTCCATCTCATCACCGCTGTGCCTGGGTTCCTGATCCTCCTGCTTATGTCTCACGAGGGTGCCGTGCCGCCAAGCCCAATTCATATGGGGCTGAGGTTTGAATCTCAGGTTTTTGTGCTTGTGAAACACTCTCCCAACTGAACTGCATCCCCAGTAGAGTGTGTGTGTGCGCGTGTGTGTGCGTGCGTGTGTGTGTGTGTGTGTGAAAGAGAGAGAGACAGAGAGTGCACACACATGCACAGGCGTGCTATTATGTTTTGACGGGATCTTTGCTGTTGGCCATATGCTTCTGGGGCTTCTCCAGTTTCTGCCTTCAGAGCCCTTAGAGACATGTGCGTGGCTGTGCCTGGCTGTGCGTGGCTGTGTGTCGGTTTTAGGAATTCACACTCAGGTCTTCAGGTTTATGCGGTAGGTACTTTATCCGCTGAGTTGTTTCCTCAGCCAAGGTTTCAAGATTATTCATTATTATGAGTATGTGTGTACACTTGCATGAGGTTTTGCACACGGCAGGAATGCAAGAGCAGGGATGCAGGACAGACGAGGGCATCGGTGCCCCAGAGCTGGAGTGACAGATGGTTGGGAACCACTATGTAAGCGCTTTTAAAATTGTGGTAAAAGCTGGACAGTGGTGGCACACTCCGTTAATCCCAGCACTTGGGAGGCAGAGGCAGGCGAATATCTCAGTGAGTTTGAGGCCAACCTGGTCTACAGAGCAAGTTCCAGAATAGCCATGGCTAAACAGTGAAACCCTAAACAACTCAAAAACAACCTAAACAAATAAATAAAATTGTGGTAAAAAACCCATAACAAAATTTATTCTTTTGCTCCTTTTCTCCCCGCAGTACTAGGTAGTGAACCCACGACCTTGAGCGCACTGGGAAAGGGCTCTCCGCTGAACTATATACTGCGTTCTTTGATTTTTATTTTGAGGAAGGGTTTCACAGGTGAGCCTAGTCTGGCCTTGAAATATTTCTGCTTAGCCTCCTGAGTAGCCAGAATTACAGGTCTGACTCATCAGCCCAGGCTCTCCTCTGCACTCTTGGCCTCCCCCCCCCCACTCTCAACCATTTTTAAGTACACATCTAAAAGGTGGGTGTGGCAGCTCACAGCTATAATACCAGTGCTGTGAAAGCTAAGACAAGAGAATTGCTTTGAGCTCAAGGCTGAAGAGCAAGACCCTGTCTCAAACCAAACACCAGGGTTGGAGAGACAGCTCAGTGGTTAAGAGCATGGGCTTCTCTTGCAGAGGACCTGGGTCCAGTTCTCAGGACCTGCAGAACTGCTCACAATCTTCAGTAACTCCAGTTCCAGATTACCTGACACCTACTGAGGGCACATGGAACATGCAGAGTTCACACATACATGCAGGCACACACTCATATCCATAAAATGAAAACAATTTTTTTTTTCTTGAGACATGGTTACTCAACATAGTCCTGGCTGTCCTGGAACTGTATGTAGACCAAGGTGACCTCAAACTCAGGTTAAAAGGAGAAGCTAGAGAGACGGCTCAGCGGATAAGAGCACTGGCTGCTCTTCCAGAGGACCTGAGTTCAAATCCCAGCACCCACATGGTGGCTCACACCCATCTATCATGGGATCTGACTCATACACATAAATAAATTTTTTTTAAAAAAAGATTAAAGATAGTTAGACAATGATGGTGCACACCTTTAATCTCAACACTCATGAGACAGAAGTAGATGGATCTCTGTGAGTTCAAGGCCAGCCTGGTCTACAGAGAGAGTTCCAGGAAACCTGTTTCGGAAACAGTTCCGAACCCTGTTTCGGAAAAAAAAAATAAAAAAAAAAAATAAAAAAAAAAGCAAACCACCAACAACAAAAGATTCAAGGCATTAGCCACTATGCCCAGCTCCGTAATAAATTTATTTTCCCAATAACAAAAAGGTATACAGTTACATTACGGCACTGCTTGCACGCCTTTCTTCATTGTTAAATTTTTGAAAACCTCATGTGGGCTGGAGGGATGGCACAGGGTTGAAGAGCATTTGATCTTCCAGAGTTCATTTCCCAGCCCCCACACTGGCAGTAACTGTACCTGAATTCCAGGGGACCTGATGCTCTCCTGACTTCCAAGGCTCCTGCACTGTAGGTGGTGCATGTACAACACTCCGGCACACACGCGCACACACACATGCATGCACGCACACACATGCAAACAATTCAATAAATATATATTCCTAAAATTATGTGTATGTGCTTCTTTCCTATATGCCCCGTGTGTGCAGGTATCCACAGAGGCCAGAAGAGGGGATTTACAGAAGGTCAGCAGCCACCATGTAGGTGCTTGGAGTCAAACCCAGGTCCTCTGCAGGAGCAGCAAGTGCCCCTAACCTCTGAGCCACTTCTCTACACCCCTTCAAAATCTTTTCATCTTCTGGAGCTGATAGTCTTCTTTAAAATTATTATTTTAGGTTTATTTTTTTCTACTTTATGAGTATTCTGTTTGCTTGTATTTCTGTGCATGCGTGTACCCGGTGCCCACAGGGTCAGAAGAGGGCATGGGATCTCACAGGATTGGAGTTGCAGAGGGTCGTGAAATCACCCTGCGGTGTTTGGAACTGAGCCTGGGTCCTCTCCAAGAACAAGTGCTGTCCTCCGCTGAGTCAGTTCTCCATCCCTAGAGCTGATATTCTGTTCTTACTAAAGCACAAAGGGTGCCCACTGTGTTGCGGGCCCATCATTCTGTGGATGGGCGCTGGATGCTTCCCTCCTGGCTGCAATGATGTGACGGTACCCACGGCCCCATGCGCAGCTCTCTGCATCCCACGACTGCAGAGGTGGCCACCCTGGAAGGTGTGGCGCAAACTGACGGATGGGTTGTCTCCAGGCCTCTCAGGAAAATACCTAACCATGCTCCACAGAAGCCAGAAACCCAGCCCAGGAAACACCTCAGAACTCAGGCAGCAGAACCAATCCAGAGAGAGGTCAGAGCCATCTATGTCCATAGAGGATGAGTGGGTACGGAGGATCCTGGGACTTGCAGGGTGTGGAAGGACAGGCAGTTTTAGGATTCCCTGGCTC